GGGGATTGGAGAGACATCTGGAGCAGAGGTCCATCAGTGGATTATTAGCCACAAGGTCTAGATGGAACGCTCTGTCTGGGGCAGTGAAGAAGAAGAAGAAATTGGATTTATACGCCACCCTTCACTTGGAGTCTCAGAGCGTCTTACAATCTCCTTTCCCTTCCCCACTCCACAACATACAACAGGTAGGTGGGGCTGAGAGAGCTCTTTCGAGGACTACTCTTGAGAGAACAGCTCTGAGAGAACTTGTGCCCGACCCAAGGTCACACCAGCAGCTGCACGTGGAGAAGTGGGGAATCAAAATCTCCCAGATTAGAATCCGCGCTCCTAACCACTGTACCAAAGTGGCTTTCTGTATTCTTGGTGCTTGGAGGGGCGAGAGTGAGAGGGCTTCTGGAGTTCTGGCCCCGCTGGTGGACCTCCTGAGGGCCCCTGGGTTTTGGCCACTGTGTGTCACAGAGGGTTGAACTGGGTGGGCCACTGGCCTGACCCAACCTGGCTTCTCTTACGTTCTCATGTTCCATTGTTGAAAGCCAGAACGAGGGGAACGCCTCAGTTACTTTTTGCCATCGGCATGACCCGGGTTCGAGCACACCTCACAAAACAGTCAGCTAGCAAAGAAGAAGGCAGGTCTGCCTGGAAGCGCAGAAAACTGAACTTGCAGGTCTCGAAGATCAAGTTGCCAGTGCATGTGACAGATGGCCGGGCGGAGGAGGCAGGGGGCGGGGGAAAGACAGCAAGAGACGAACAGTGCTGCTGATAATACAGCTAAGGAGTTTTCCTCGGCACTACAAAGGGTTGGTCTCGAACAGGGGTCCCCAGACTGTTTTTAGGAAGGGGGCAGTGTTCCCTCTAAACTGAGTTAGTGTGAGCTAGCTCACAGTTTTTTAGCCTCCAGCTCACACATTTTTGTCTTAGCTCTGGAAGGAGGGCTCCAAAGCAAACTAATGTATGCAGTAGCCAAGTGGCTCGCTCACAACTTTAATGCCAGCAGCTCACAAAGTAGAATTTTTGATCACAAGACTCCACAGCTTAGAGGGAACACTGGAAGGGGGTGGGGCCAGGTAGAGCTTTCGCCCAGCAAGGCTTCTGATTGGCTACTGGAGATTTGACTGGCGGGGCAGCGCTTTCAAAAGGGGCTGCTTTGGCTTCAGCTCCCACCATGGCACAAGTTAAGTTGCGGCAATCGTTTTGTAGCTGGCGCCGCCTCCTGCGGAAGCCATCTTGTCGCTGAGCCCACCACGCCGTGTCAGAATTCCAAATTCGCCGATAGGCTCAAAAAGGTTGGGGACCCCGACCTAGAATAACTTGCTTCCCGTTGCATGCCTTAATATATGGATTCCTAGCCTCAGATCTCTCCTGAGAAACCCGGACGTGGAACAACTGATTGGTTTAGCACAGGGGAAAGGAGTACAACAAGGATGTATATTGTCCCCTTGCTTATTTAGGAGGAGAAGAAGAAGAGATTGGATTTATACCCTGCCCTTCACTACCCGAAGGTGTCTCAGAGCGGCTTACAATCTCCTTCCGCTTCCCACAACAGACACCCTGTGAGGTTGGTGGGGCTGAGAGAGCTCTGACAGAAACTGCTCTTTTTCTAGGACAGCTCTTATCAGAGCTATGGCTTGCCCAAGGTCATCCAGCAGGTGCAAGTGGAGGAGTGGGGAATCAAACCCGGTTCTCCCAGATTAGAGTCCGCGCACTCAACCACGACACCACACTGGACAGCTGGACAGAGTACATCATGTGAAATGCCGGCCTGGATGAATCACAAAGCGGACTTAAGATTGCTGGGAAAACATCAACAACCTCCGATATGCAGACGAGACCACTCTAATGGCAGAAAGTGAAGAGGACCTCAAGAGCCTCTTGTTGAACACAAAATATGAGAGTGCAAAAGTTGGCCTGAAACAACATAAAAAAACCTAAGATCATGGCATCTGGCCCCATCCCTCCTTGGCAAATAGAAAAAGTCATGGAAGCAGTGACAGACTTCACATTCCTGGGATGGTGACTGCAGCCATGAAATTAAAAGACGCCTGCTCCTTGGGAGGAAAGCAATGGCCAACTTAGGCAGCATGATAAAAAGTAGAGACATCACCCGGCCAACAAAGGTTCGCATGGTCAAAGCAATGGTATTCCCAGTAGTCATTTATGGCTGCGAGAGTTGGACCATAAGGAAGGCC